GTCATACACATTGGACAGGGGGAATAACGGGAATAAAGGACAGATGTTGCAAAAAATCAACAATATATGGAACAAAGCCAGTCGCCATGTGACCATGTTGAAATGTTATTGGAAACATTATGCAAGTAAATCCAAAAGTTGTGCAAAAGTGGCCCCAGCCTGGTCAGTTTGGACACTCACACAACCGCTTGGATTTAGACATTACAACCAAGTTTGTGTGAGAGAGAGACTGTGTCAGTGTGTGTGACAGAGTCCAGCTGTGTGCCGATCTGGCCAGTAACAGGGGGAGTCAAACAGAAAAGGCCAAAGGGATCACTGGGGAAAAGGAGAGAGGAGGAGGAGGGGGAGGGATATATGAGAAAGGTGACAGCAGGAAAAGAGGATTACAGGGTGATAGTGAAAATGTCATTGGGTGATGAGCACTGTGGATGATGAAATAAAGATGGAGGATGAAGTGAGGCCACAGAAGGAGCCGGAGCAGTGATTGTGTGACTTACTCGCGCTCTTTTCTTTTTTTCTGACAGCATAAAATCACCTGCACCATGAAGCAATGTAACTTTTATATTGAAGTTAAGCTGTATTTTCTTTTGTTTGACTCTCTCAAGTGGCACATTGTCATGTGCTAAGGTTACATTACATTACATTACATGCCATTTAGCTGACGCTGACGATCCAAAGCAACTTACAATAAGTGCATTTCAACCATAAGGATACAAACCCAGAAGAACAAGAAACAAGAAAGTGCAATTTCATCAAATAAGCAGATTTAGAACTTGCTATAGATAATGATATTGTTATATTATAAGTCCCAATGTAAGTGCTACAATTGGTTTAGTGTTTTTTAGTCATGTATATATATATATATATACACTAAACCAGAGACGCAGATATATTTGAATATTCAGTGGTTAACAGAGGTGGAAGACTCACTGTTACTTTGTCTGATGCTGACATTTCCCCCAGAAGTCATTTTCGGGTCATAACGTCTTCCACAGGAAATTTATGAATTTGAAAAAAGGATTATTTTTTTTTTCAAGGTTTTTTATTACATTAATCAATGTCTCCAAATCCAAATTTGACTGATGAAAGAACACGGTGGCTTGTTCAACAAGTAACAGGGAAAATAGTAAAGAACTTGGAAAGAGGGTTTCACAAGGGGGGCGGAGGAGCAGAGCGGGAACAGAAGAGGGTGAAAGATTGGGAGGATGTCCTGTTTGGGTCATGTGCTTCAAAGATTTTACTGTGGGAAAGTGTGTGGTGTGTGTGTGTGCGTGTGTGTGTGTGTGTGTGTGTGTGTGTGTGGTCTGGTTTAGTTACTTGTGAGAACTGAAGGACATTTTATATGGTCGTCATGGTGATTTTTAGTCATTGACAGAAGCTCTGGGTGGAGCTTGGCCTGGTTTGAATCAAGTTAATTCAAGTCAGTGCGATGTCCTTGTAAAAGGAGAAGCCCACTGAAATGTATATATTGTGTATTTGTACATTTCAGTCTTGCGTGATTGTTCCTTCCCCTCTGCACACACAAACACAAGACAAGACATTAATTATAAAAGCAAACAACATACCACTTGACCCCTGTAGTTACACTGTGTACATTGCATCCAAAGTAGACCCATGTGTGTGTGAGTGTGTGTGTGTGTGTGTGTGTGTGTGTGTGTGTGTGTGTGTGTGTGAGAGAGTGTGTGTGTGTGTGTGAATGCTGGGATCAGGGCAACAGAAAAAAGGAGGACATTCAACTGGGAAAACAGTAGAAGCCATTTAAAAACACGGCGTCTCACTGAGACCGAAGACTGTTTTTGATGTTTCACTTCATTGATAAACAGGCAGGGTTCATTCATTATATATTTATATGATAAAAACATTTTGAAACACTTTGCTGTCATTAGTGTCATAAAACAGCGTGACGGTGAGTCAGCGTTCATTATAGCGGGACGCCGACCCTCAGGCAGCGGCTGAAAACAGAACCCAGATATCTTTTCTGTTGAGGTATCAGCCCTTTGTCCTACAAACTAAATTCACGCATTAATAATGTCCTTTGAAATCTTCTGAGTGGGGATGTCAATGTGATACACGGTCCAACAAACACTGGACTTTCACCAATTAGTCTACTGTTGGTTTCCCGTGTGAGACGTCGGTAGTAGTCATGTATATATATATACATGTAGATCTAATGCTTGTTTCTTTCAATTTATTTCTCAGCAAATAGTTCCTGTTAGGATCGTTTCTGCTGGCCGACGTCCATCTCACGAGGAGTAGACGTGTGAAAGTCTTTGCACCGGTTTGTACAGTTCAGGATTAGACTGACGCGATCATTTGGCAGTTCACTAAACTGCTGTTTCATGTTTGTCATTATTATCTCTGATGCTATAAACACAGCGAGTATCCTCATTCTTATGCAGCGTGTATGTCACAGAAAGAGGGAATCCCGCGCCGCGGAGGACAAACTGTCTTTTTTATTCCAACCACATACTTCAGCAGCCAACCTCACTGAAGGGGGCGAACTCTTCCAGGAAGTCACCTGCTGTGGGGAGTCGAAACCTGCTGATTGTCGGCACGGCGCTCGTTTAACTTTCCTGCTGTTTGTGCACGTGCGTATTAAAAATAAATACCAAAGAGGAATTCGGTTGTTTGAAGTGGAAAACATGACCGAAACATAACCGTAGTCGGGCTGCCAGGAAGTGACATAAACCGCGAGGAAGCCACAGTCGCTTTGCGCCTGGCCAGCGGGTCACCAGTCACAACAGCGCGGCCATGCGTGGAAGCATGGCACTCTCGCACTTCCTGCAGCGCTTTTGCTCAAAACCGCCGGGTCAACCCACTTCCCTGTATTCTTCTGTCAACTCTGGGAAAAACCTTTAATATCCTTCCTGCCCCCAAGACGCCGGCCGTGGAGGCGTTGTAAAAAGGCATCCTCGAGGGCAACCGCGCTGCCATGTGTCCCCTCAGCGCAGACTGAACTATTGTCTACTATTTGTGTCTGTAAACTCTCACAAACCCCCCCCCCCCCCGCCCTCTCTTGGTTTGCCTCCTGGACCGGTTTAGAAGGAATAAATATTGTCTGATATCTATCCGCTTGTTTGTTTAGGAGGAGCACGCAATGATACTGTGATTGTTTTGTGGTCATTGAGTTTGTCTTTCCGGCTTCGTGGCTGAGAATCTGGACTCAACAGCAATGTCAACATCAGCGCCCCGTCACCCACCCCACAGAGATGAGTGCATTGTTTGACTCTGACTTTATTTACATGATGCAAAGAGAAGATTTGAAAGCGCGCTGGGTTTTCTTTGTACTGTTTCAAGATTTAGGCAAACTCTCATGGATTCAGCTGTCTGTTTGTGTAGTTCGGGATAATATTGTTGTCTTAATAAAAGAATGAAGTCTGAGTCTGAATGCACGCACACGTTCTCAGGGGTTGAGGGTGAGTAGGATGAGGCATTAGTTCGGTTTTCTTCCTCATCTAAGGACAGTAGAATGGCGAGAGAATGAAATAAACTGGACCAGAGTTAAGGGACGTGTTGGCTGAGGTTAAAGACACCAAACAGCACTGTCCATGTGAAACATTTATATTGTATTCAAAAGCCCACAACAACTGAGTGATTGATCAGATGCCAGATGGTTGATTAGGCTTAGTGAGAGTTAAAACTAATGCATATTAACAATTAACCGGAGTAAATAATTTCAACAATAGACTGACGTATTTAATCCGCCTTTGATCCTGAGGATTCTCCATATTATTCTCCTGTTGAAAGGAAATCATTAAAAAAAAAAACACTGCTTCATACTAGTTTTGCTTTGAATTAACAAGGGCTGAGAGGCACAAACCTCTCAGATGACACATGAGATGAGAGAAACGAGGTAGTCTGACGGTACCCGTCAGCGGGCAGCGGCCGCCCAGGCGGGCGAAGCAGCTCCTGGAGGACTTCAGAGGCATCAGGTTCCAGGCGGCTTTTTTTTCACCTAGGAAACACCTGCAGGCCGGCGTGATGAACTGTGACACTTGATTGAATGTGGAGTATGTGAGTGACCTTGCACCTTGTGACCCCTGCTCAGGGCTGGAGCTCTTTCAAAACGGGGTTAAACAAAAACAATCGTACGAACAGAACAAACACCACAGGTTGCGTCTAAATGAGGCGCTAGTGGAAAATTGAACAAAGGCAGAATGGATCCAGCTCGCTGAGAAGCAAAGTGTAGAAAGGTGTCAGGACTCGTGCTGTAAGTTGTTTGTTGCCAGTCTTCTAACGATCAGCCAGCGTTCCAGCACCCTTTGTTCCCACGTCTAGTTAGTTTATGTCCAACGTGATTATGTCTCTGCCCGTCCCCTTTGTACTTAGTGTCCCGAACCTGGCCACGTATGAGAATGAACCACCTGTTACTCGTCTCCCGAGTCGTGCACTTGTGTCCTCCGGTTGCTATCCTTGTCGACAGGTAATTATAGAAACACATTGAGTGGCTTTCACAGCAGTCTCAAAGACGACGTTTGATTATTGGGAATCTCAAGAGTATTAACTTCAGCTATAGTTAGTAGTAGTTGAGTATCTGGATTTTTCAGAGGTATCAGGCGATCTGACAAGTATATTTTTGTTGGCATCTAAGTGGTTTTAGCAAGTTTTCTACATTGTTATCAAATAGAATATTAATTCATCCCACAATGACATCACAATGGGCTTTGCGTCCTGCCCCATGTGTCCTGAATTCAAGTCCGAACAGAACAAACTCAAAAACCGCTTAATGAAATCGGTAAACCAAGGATTACTTTGTGGCTGACTAATTTAACATCCAACACATCCATCCATCTTGAGCACTCCTAAATTGTGTCTCTACCTTAGATGAAATAAAAAATACCAAAAATTTGGTGAATGCAAACCTGATGGTACAAACGCTTAATTGCGTGCGGACCAATGACTTTAATCACATATAAACAAAAATACATTGAAATGAAAAAACTGAGGTACAAAGTGTTTGATTTCTGTGTACTTTCTTTGCAATGAAGGACAGAAGCCACTTATTTTAGGATATATTTTAATTAGTTTCCATAGACAAACGTGTGCAGGTGAGGGCTGATGAACAGAGATTGATGCCTTATGCTTTGGAAGAAAATAAAATAGCATTTGATCGGTGCAGTTTGCCTCGTGGTTGCTGACGACTGCGGTTCAAAAAAACCCATGAAGTGCTTACATCGAATAAAGCCGTTCCCCAAAGGAATTCACTCCAAAGCCTCAGTGTGTATTCCTCACCGGTCTGAATAACACCGGAGAGTCGATGCAGATACAGTAGACAGCACGGACAGAAAGCATAACTGTACAGGATGAGGTTTCAATGTCAGTTCATAGTCCTTCGTTTCCATTGAGAACCCTTTCTTTGTGAGTATTAACACTGTCTGATCATTTACACTGTTATAAAACAGTCCTTTGAGGCTCAGGTAGTCACACGAGAAGTACGTCCCAAAGTACATGGGTCATTGGGTTGCCTTGTCTTTGACCGGTGGATCCTTTCAGTCACTCATCAGTAAGATACAACTTCAAGAATCAGTATTAAATCCGATTTTTTCTTCTTTTATCCAAGCCGTCATACAGTATCATGTTACAGTGGTGGTCTTTGGGAGTCATTTCCCACCAGGTTAGACTTGAGTCACTGCCTCAAAAGATTAGTAGATGTTTTGGCCTTCGGCAAAGGTTCAGAGCTCAAATAAATCTCAGAGGTCAACGGTCCGGATCCGCGAGCTACAAAGAATTTCCAAAGATTTTGTCGGTTGTCCCACTGGTCGGATCGCCCTACAAGCGGTGTCCATGTCCTTCTCTGTCTCCATGAAATAATTAGACCACTCGGGAAAATAGCTTCATCTGCTATTTGTTGAGAGAGAAGATTGACACCACGTTTATATCTGTACAATGAAAAAACAGCTATGGACAGCAGCTGGTTAGCTTAACTTAGTTTAAAAGAATACTTCACCCAAACAGTGACCATTTGCACATCATTTACTTACCATATGTTACCCGACATTTTGAAGAAAACAGAACAGAACAACAGCAGAAGTTTATCAATCTACATTTACAAACTATCACACAGCCCGTGTGATGCAAGAGAAACTGTTTTTTCTTAGAGGAATTCCCGGGTAAACGTTATTGGTGTACAAATGGTCATTTTGTGATGTATGTATTTTCAGGCTGGATGCAAGGGAAACAGCTAATATGGCTCCATCCAATCACACCGGCATCTCTAATGCTCTGTAAAAGCGATGAGTTGGGGTTTAGTGGGATGTTCCTTATATTTTTGTTCAGGTACTGCCGAAAAACTGTTTTTCTTCTGTTCAGGTACGGAATAAACTAGCGTCACTGAGCGTGTAAATAAGTGAGCCACACGGGTGCTGTTTTTTTTAACCCTTTGAGTGATAGTAAGATAATAAATGTCATAAATGTGAAAAATCACACATAATATATTAAAGAAACTACTACTTTGTACTCCCAGGAACTACTTTTCCTTTTTTTCCCCTGGAAATGTAGGTGATTTGTGGCATCACTTATGGGGTAGTTTGACCAGCTGAAGCAACCGCTCAAAACCTTTTGTGCACTCCTCTCCACAGAATTGTTTGAGTGGAGAGGTCTGAACTCCATCTTCCTCCATCTTCCTCTCCTCCTAGGCCAGGATATCGCTCCTCTTGCTGCACCAGACCACCAGGGCGATCATGGCCAATGTGAGGAAGACAGGGATGAGGATGAGGATGGTGAGCGTGTCGTCCGGCGGGTCCACCCATACCACATGGTCCGCGCTGCAGTTGGAGAAAAAGTGCTTGTGTATGCGGATGATGTAGCTCTCCACCAGCGGATTGGGCCAGTAGCAGCTGACGACGTCGGCCTTGAGCTCTGTGCAGCGGGTGAAGTGGTGGTACTCGCTGGGAGGAGAAACGGGGGGAAGAAAGTGGGAGGATTAGAAGGTCCACGATCAGAGGAAACCGTGTTACTGTTTAGATGGAATTCCTCAAAGCATCCTAAGCTTGGTAACCAATCCATCATTGCGACATACTTTTCTATTTAAACATGTGTGCATTACTGTTGAAAGGCTCCTTGAGCCAGCCCTAAACAAACTCCCAACACACCAGCCCCCTAATGGTGAATTAAACCTCTGACCCTTTGACAAGATAACACCTGGAAGATAATGAATTATGATAAAGTACTTTATGTGTATATGTATTATGCAGATAATATATGAGGGAAATAGGCACTTTAATATTGAGCCAGCATAAGCTAACTTATGCCAATATTTTAATATTGTAAGATATTGGGAGTCATCTTAACTGCATTTTGTATTGCTCCGAGTAAAAGGTTCTTCTATCAAACTAATGACTTGTTAATAAGGATTATTCTTTGTGGAACCAGATTGTGGAAGTGATTGGGGAATGAAATAAAAGGATGGAGAATGAAAGGAAATTTAAATATCAGAGCCCTCAGAGATAAGTTACCACAGTGCAGCGTGCGGCGCTGGAAGGAATGCCGAGGCTTTTGAAGTTTTTTCCCCAGATACACAACAGCTAACCGGTTTTCCAATCGTCTTTCACGCACAGTACACAGGATAAAAATAGCCTGACCGGGTTCACGGTCGATAAAATACATTATATAATTGCAAACTTTACTTGAAACATACAACATATACATGTGATACTTTGGTATCAATTATATTTGTGCATGGCAGTTTCTGACGACTTACAATGATAGTTTATACTATATATACATATATATATATATAGAATCTAATATGAATTATTCAATGCCAAAAAACAATTTCCGTCATAATGTCTCCCCATAAATCTTCTATTATAGCTCCCAGTTAAACCCACAGTAATCATACTCCCCCAGCTGTTTAACGGCCGATAAACGCTGCACATCATGTTTCCTCATACTGTTGCAAATGTTCCTTTGGTGCATCTCAAAATGTACATTTTAGTTAAGACGGCTCTCTCGGCTGACTGATACATGAATGCTGCTGACACCCACTCTACATCTGCAAAGATCAGCCCGCCTAAGCACAGTCACGCAACAGACACACACTAACACACAACAGTATGATGATGCAATGCCGTCTGTGATCATTGTCCTTTACTGCTTTTCAGTTGTGCGTCGCCCTCTGGGACTGATCGGATTAAACAAATGAACACTTGAAAAGCGCGGAAGCAAAATTCTAGCGAATAAGGCAAAGCAAACTGTTTATGCATATATCTTTTATCTGTATCTGCATCATTTTTAGATTTTTAACCATTAAACAGGCTTTTCTTTCCGTGGCTGGCTGGCTGGGACAGTTGTTGGTATCCGTCTTCTGCAGTTGTGTGGACCTCGTAGCCCTATTGAAATGAGTTTTGCTCATCTAAATGGATCCCTACTGGCAGCAGGAAACAGCTGTGATGAATTTAGAGCGGAATCTGTTCCGCACAGGGACTGACCATAATTCCTAATCGTGAATACCCAGTATATGATTAAAAGCTCCAGATAGAGCCGACACCACTGCTCCCCGGTTCCATTTTGCTCGACATCAAGGCCGGCTGCTATCTGAACTGCCCCAAAAAAGAAAATCAATTATTATTGGAGGTAAACGATTCCAGCGCGTAAATGCTCGCACAGACACTCAGGTTGTATCTTGGGGCTTTATTGGCTTATTTCCAACAATAACACTCAGGTTGGCTGAGTGTTTGGCCAGCAGCTATATCGCAGCCCGAGAGGCACCGCTCGTTTGTCAAAGAGGGGGAAGCCTCGCAGGGGTCGCTGCTTGTTTAAACACGAGGACCCTTGCTCTTCCCAGGCAGATGCTTCTCACCGCTCTCCTCTTCCTCTTTGTGCCTCAGCTGCGCCTTTTTTCTCTCCCGCCTTCTTATCGTCTTCCTCCAGGCTTCAAAGTAAAACGGCCACCGAGAAAGTCTATATGAATTAAGTATCGTAACAGGAATACGGCCACGAGCGAAACAGTCCTTATAGAAGTGTGTACTCACGTAGGCAGCGTTCTCGGAGACGTACGTAACTCTGTGTTCCCCCCCGCTCCATTTGGACTATGGAACAGTCTTTGTTAATATGTTCTTTCATCTGTCAGTCACTTTTGGTGTGTCAGACGCAGAAACCCACAGATCAGACGTTGATAAAAGGTCGTTCTGAAATTCACTCTGCTAAAAAAAGCGTGCTAAATGGAAGTATTTTCCCATGTGAGGTGCAGTGTTTATGATTGGATGAGACTATATTTGTGTGTTGTGTGTCTTTAATATCACAGATACTACAATTGGTTCCTGGCCCGATTTTATTTGCTTTTTCATATTGTTTCTCTCTTGTTTAGGGTTGAGGCGGTGAGCATTAAGACTGCAGCAGGATAAGAAGAAAACACTTAAGACTTTTCACCCCCCAACCTGCGCCTTCAAGTAGAAGCTAGAATCAACAGTAATAACACCCATGTCTCTTCAAAATGTCATCACAACATTTATTCTATTAGACATCTTTGTGAGAAATCGGATCAGTTCAACATGGAGTCCAAGTGCACATGGGATAAGCTCGCCTCTAAGACTTTCTGTCATAAATCCTGGTTGGGTTCAAGAGGAGATCATGGTTTGGGGTAAAACAAACCCTTCCTGGCAGAGCTCCCGTGGGAAATCCAACAGCACACGTGTGCCAAATCAAAGTCCTGTCTTATGTTTCTCTATCGAAACCGACAGTCTGTATTTCTTGGATTGAAACTCATAAAGCTTACGAGTAACACTTCTATTTAAAAACAATCAAACCAAATTCAACCGCCTCAAGCTGATTCGCTAACCTCCAATTATCTTTCTGTGAAGGATCCCTCAACTTCAACCTCATCTTGCCGGTTTTGAATAATTTGCCGTGTGAAATTCAACAGAGCAGAAGGTGGAGTCGCGAAGCACAGAAGCAGAACTTTAACTGAGACTCCTGTTGGGAACTTGTCATCCATTTGCCTGACAGATGTCCTAAAAGTCCTGCATGTACACTTTTGATTGAGCTGCATAATGTAGAAGATTTAATACTTGTCAATACGCTAACTTGAAGAATGGTGGTTGGAGCAGAACTCCAGGCCGGGGTTCAGTGTAGATCTATATGGAATTCACCATTTTTGGGGAAGACCCTCAACGGTGTAGAGAGAGGAGAGCAGAGACTAAAAAAGCAACCCAGCCTCACAGCAAAACGTGTAATAGCTACGTTGTGGAAAAAAGAAAATGGCGGAAACACAATATTTTAAGAAAGCATCAGCATTTGTATGCATTTCGATGGCATTTCTAGTGAGAAGTATACGTTATATTTTCATAATCTTCTATCAGAGAATGTAGACCTTCCGTTTATTAGTTTCTAGTGACGTAGTTGCAAGGCAATGTAGATGAATGGGCTAAAATAAAACGTAGTATTGTCAGGATTTGGGGGAGAAAGCGTGAGAATACCACGTTCCACAACGTAGCTGTTACACGTTTTGCTGTGAGACTGTGTTGAAATAAGATGAAGGGGTTTTTGAGGGTAATGGAAATTAACTTTGAACACAACACCAACAATAGTAACAAACAGTAGCATCCATTTGGAGTCATGGCTGTGCCAACTGAAAGAATATAAATCCGATATTCACTGTTTTTAGAAATATCTGTCTCTTTAGCTGTTAAATGTTCCACCCTTTTCACCAGGTAGTCGACAGGTGTTGGTTGTCACGCCATAAACATCTGCCTGCTGTGTGTGGACATGACGCTGTGAATGGACCTGAAGAGAACATCTCCTGGCCAGACGACACAATGAATGCTCCTTAAAGCAGTAGTTCGATCCATTAGAAGAATACTAACTAGCAGCTTTAACCTTGATAGCCTTTACATTCGGTTTGCTTTGACAACTGACAATCTAATTTCACATTTCAGCGCACCACGGCTTTGCTATTTTCTTTCTAATTACTGTTTCCGTCAAAACATTCTTTGTATACATTTCCAAATGGTATTCATGACTTCTGTACCAACTAAGACTTGGTCCCACCGCTTGCAGCAGACCGATAGATGGCTGTTGAAATACGAGTGACTAACTAGCCTCCCAAATGTTTACCCTGACCATAATGTCTCCATCTTTACCTTCATATCACATTTCACAATCCTTTTTTTTCCTGAAATATAACAGTGTTTCAAATAAACAGAAAGACGGAAACCCTAACCCTAACCCATCTTCCAAAATATCAATTATTTAATGTTAAGCTCTTCCAGTCTCATGGCTCTCTCCCTCCCTCTCTGGCTCTGCAGTTAAAAGGAAAAAAAATCTGCATGCGAGAGGTCAAAGGTGAGCGGAAAGAATGAGCGGGATAAAGATAGATACGGATGGGTGGTCAAGGCTCAGATGGTTTTTATTTAAACAGCTCTAGTTTTGAAAAGCCTCCAGACCTCCAGCTGTTCTCCCCCCCACAGACATCCAGCCAAGCAGCTGTACGGTTAAAGGACTGAGATGGATCACAGTCCTTCTATCAATCAAGTGTTTTTAAGTGTTTTGTTGAAAGTGCATCGTGAAGAACAGTCGACCCCTTCACTGAGATTACAAGTGCAAACAGACAGAAAGAACACAGTAAGTAAGCAAAGAGGACTGAGAGAAAAGAGGCTAACTTTATATCAGGAGGCAGTTGGGTTTTAAAAATTCTCACAAGAGACTTTCTACTCTTTCTAGTATCAGGTCATCAATTTGGGCCTATAAGGGTAATATACAGGCTCTCGGGGGAGGAATGCTTTTCTCTGCTGTGAGCCAATGTGGGATAATCACAGAAAACCATTTAACACTGGGAGCTATTTTAAGAATTAAGCAAACAGGTACAGTTATCCCAATGGTGTAGAGCTGAAATCCTCTTAGCGGCTGATAATCAATTTTGGGAATGTAACAAAATCCAGTTAGACAGTGAGAAATGCAATTCTAACTGAGCTGATTCTGTGTGTGTGTGTGTGTGTGTGTGTGTGTGTGTGTGTGTGTGTGTGTGTGTGTGTGTGTGTGTGTATGTGTGTGTGTGTGTGTGTGAGTGTATAAATAACAACATGTGATGCAAACAAATGCTGCTAGATATGGAGGATGCATCAGAGATGTAAACAAATCATACTCTGATTTGTCATCTTTTGAAACAATTCCATTCACACCATTTCCTCTCCTTCAATTCAGACTTTATTCTTTCTGTACCATCCGTAAACCATGTTAATGCTAACAACTAAAAACCAGCATGACTTTTCATGATAATAAATCTCTAAACTGCTTTATGTTGCACTGCATATTTGCATATGTCATGCAGTGCAACATAAAGCTCGACAGATGTTGCACAGCTGGGAAAATCCAATAGTGAAGCCTGCACCTTCAGCACATGAGACTTCTACTACTGCAGGAGACAAGTCAAAGTCCGCCAGCGTCTCTAAGTAAATGCAGAAGAGAGATTTCCGTTTGAAATGACAATTCAAGGTCAACACAAGGTTACGTATGAGAACACGTTGCGTAATACCTGATGAAGTGTGTGAGGTTACACCAGTATTGTGGATCTATGTGACCCATGTCCCGCTTGAAGACCTCTCCGCAAACCTCCACCTCCCAGCGCAGACGGGACTCGTTGCAGGCTTTTTTCGGCCGGGGGGCGGTGGGCTCGATGTCCAAGCTGTCGGCGGCTGAGAGGACAGAAAGACGCAGAGCATTTAGAGGTCACGCGTCCTGCCCAGCGGGCTTTGCCTGCAGAGTAAAATGGCCACGTGAGTAAAATGACTGATGGTGAACAAGATGGTCGTGGTCTTATGACCTCCTTTCTGAGAGCTGTAACTTATATATTTCATACTCTCCATCTCGGGTTTAATTTTCACCCACCACGTTTTTGGGAACAGTGGAAACGTCAGTTCCACTTCCACAGTCGGATTTTTCTTTTCTGCGTCCCATTGTTGCAATTTTTATGCAGCAATTGAATTCAGTTTTCCCCAGAGACTGAGGCGGTGTAATCTCTTTTCATGTGATGGATTTATGTGCTTACCTGACAACCCCCTCATCATCCAGGCATTGACTGCAAAGAAGAAAGAGAGAGAACGTATCAAATAGAGAACTGATGTTACCATGTTACCCACATGTTATATTACGTATATTCAATAAGAAAACTGATATTTTCTTAATTGCAATTTATTACAACAGTACATGGATCTCATTTCTGCTTCCCTCCGTGAAATTACATCGACTTATGGCCATTAACTCTTTAACAGGACTCTCAGTGGATCGGTTTCCAGCAAGTGCAGAAACTGCACTTTGTATTTAGTGCCAACTGAGGTTTGCATTTGCGATGACACGGAGTAAAGTTAATACGTGCGAAACATTATCAAATTATTATTATTATTAAGCCTCAATGTTCTCTTATTCAAGCTCACAGTAGCTGATATTTTTCCGTGTTGCTGATGACCAAACGTGCTGCTGCTCAGGAAGCCGCATCGTACGGAGCAAAGAAAGAGACGGCTCAGCGTGCTAAATGGAAATATTTCCCTGTGTGAGGTGCAGTATTTATGACTATTTCAGGTATTATATTTGTGTGTTTGTCTTTAATACCATAAACGGATCAATTATTTGAGTCGTTTCTGGCTTGGTTTTAATTGCTGTACTTTTTTTTTTAATGTCGTTTCACCCCGACAAGATTAATTTACGAATCGTTTGATGTAGTCTGACATTTTTTATGTTGTGCTTTCTTGTTAAGAGTTGGATGAAAATATGTGTTGTATCCATTGTGTCCTCTAACTCTTTGCAGTGACGCAAATCCCAATCCCCCAAATATTAAATTATTGCTTTGATATAAGAACAAAAGTTCTCAGTTTAAAAGCTGTATCGGCATTGAAGTTGTGGAGTAAATTATACGTGTGTGTTTTTGTTTATTGTTCTTTTTTTTTAATTCATTTTTTAGAATAAACAAATAATGTGATTCATGGCAAAGCCCAACCAACCTTTGACAGATAGGAGAAGATATCGCTAGGAACTGAATGTGCTGAATTCAAAGACTCGAAAGAGTTATAAGAAAGAATGTACAAACACATCACTTCTGCACTGTTTGGATTCCAGCAAAAAAAGGAAAAGCCAGTAAAAGCTTAAAGATGACAAGGACTTGGACTCAGATGAGCTGCTTCAGAGCCAACGGGGCCCTGAGGATGACAGGCGGGTTTATTAGATGGGATGGAGAGGCAGCCGGGGGCGCCGCCCGATACCCCCGAGCGAGTCACATGTCACAAAGTCAAACATCTAGACGCACATCTTTGTCTGTGGAACCTCTCAAGCCATTAAATCCACTTCCTGTCTTCTATTCAAGGCGCAGACGGAAAATCATTTCTTGAGATAACAAGCAAGTACGTCCTTTGTGTCTTTTAATCAATACATCAAATCAAATACTATGGAAAATTACAGAGCACTCTGAAAATGACATTCTTTGAAAACACATCAACTTAAAAACTTAAAGTCTTGTCTGCGGCTGGTTCCCCGAGGTCTCCTGTCGCCGTTCATTTCTACCAAACTCCTGATCACTTGACACTGCAGCGCAGATTCATTTAAGCAATGTGAGTGCAGGTGAAGAATCTTAATTTACGGACATTGATTCCACCAGTAGAGAGTGAATATATGTTTTCCAACATTACAGATTTGTGTTTTTATAAACAGCATGACCAGATTACCAAACGCTGTCTGCCATAATAGAACAAAAAACAGTAAATATGCTGCAATAATTCCATGAAACGCTTTTATTTTCAGGGGTTGGGTATCCGTGTTCGCTGGGCTATTTTGTCTCTGAATTCATTCTTATCTTCCTCATGTGGAACGCAGCTGCAGTGCTGCTGTAACACATAAACTGTTCATACCGTGTCCGGCGAGTTCAACAATGCGGTTTCAGAAGAATTGCTACAGGAATGAGAAAATACTGAAATGAATGCGGTTTCAAGGCGAGTGCAGCTTTCACTACTCAGATGGAACAAATTCATGATGTTTTTTGTTTTTTTTCTTGTTAGAGAATGATTCTCAAGAGACACACGAACCCATCAATATTGAAGTGATTAATTCAACTCCAGCGGGATGGAAGTACTGATGAAAATAAGCCACAACAAACCAGTAGCAGGGTTCCCTTCAGCATGAGCTCTGCACAGCAGCAGCAGGGAGAAAGTTTTATACTAAATTGACTCAGCTTTATAAACTGTGGGGGAGATTTGGTTGATTTGCAGGCTACAGTGCCAGAGTATGAATTATAGCTGCTTGGTGCATCTCTCGTCCTGGCGTGTGACACTTTGCCAAGTGAAAGCATTCTGGATTTAGATGGCAAATACAGAGGGAGAACTTTAACCAACTGTTTCAGCATTCTAAGCTGCTTATTTTCTCCTGCTCCTCTTTCTGCCTCCACAACACGGACATAATCACATTGTAAAGTTGCTGGATTGATACTGCAGTTAAGAGTGAATCTACAGCCAACATCCAGTTAGCTCAACCAAGCATAAATTCTGCAAACAGGGAGACACAGCTGGCTCTCCCGAGGGTAATAAAAGGCAACGGTTGCTGGTCGATCACAGTGACAGTAGCAGTGACGGCTCCAGGAAGTCTCTGCTCCGAGCCAACAAACATGAGCAGCATGTTCACCAAAACATGTTGCTTTTACAATTCCTTTTATGTGCATATTAGACAGATAAATTCTTTATTATTTCTTGGGTTTAACTGGTGGATTTTGCATTGGAGAGAAGCTTTAAGTCCCATAATGATAGCGGAGAGAAGTTAACGTGAGCTGTTTCGATTTGGCATTTATACGTGTATCTGTTTCTTTAATCAAAGATTAGACACCCACCAACCAAAATCTGCCTTTCAGCAGCATCTCTCATATTTATGTGTGCAGACCAAAAGCAACAAGGCAGCTTTATCTTGCTGTCACTACTATCTGTGACCTGTAGATTGTGGAAATGTGTTTTCCATTTACTGAAACCACCTGGGTCTATTTGCGAAAGCCGCACTGAGCCGCGTGAAACAGATGGCGCGTGTATATTTATTTCATTGTGTTGTCACTTCTAAAAGAATATAAAATTGAACATTTCAAAAGTAATCAATTCAAATTCATTTTAGTCTCCAATTAAGAACCCCAAAGGTGGAGGCTGCTGAATCGTTCAGTCTGTCATTAGCCACGTGTGGGTGGACGGTTTCGGTATTTGTGCATTCATCCAGCCGCTCTCACCTAATTTCAAAACACTTACCAGGTTCCAGCTCGCCCGGGTTCAGAGTTATCGTGACTAAATCATTCCTGATCACTGTGGATGCCGCTGGTCACGGATCAAGACCCTCTTTATTTATGATACCACCACATCCATTATGCTTATGAAATGGAGAAACGGCTGGCAGGGCTGAATAAACGTTTCTAAACACTATATTTTAATATTTTAATAGCTTTTGTCTGGCTTTGAATACAACTGTGCACGGCTCTTGCCTTGTCACATGAACGCTGTCGCTGTTTATTTTGCAATAACTCAACTGTTGATGGACTATTGAAAAGACTCAAACGTGATACAACTGGAAAAGAGTATCTTATTTTGTATGAAGGAAGGAATTATCCACACCGCAGGGCGTTGCTTATATAATCTGTACATACTGGACCATTTAAAATGAGCAAGAAGCCAATTTGTTCTGTTGTCCTTCAAAAGCCTCTAAAACAAATCGAGAAGAAGACAACATGCTCCAGTAAATACTTGCCTTTAGGGGCGGGCTTTACCCCGACCAATGAAAAGCGTTGAGTCAACTGAAATGTGCTCTTAGTGCCACACTGATGCCACATTAAACCTGTGAATTACGCCGGCCCAGCAGAGCTATTTTAAACCGGGCGATAACTAAATCAAGGTGCTCAGAGTTGTTACCCGCAGGTGCACATCGTGGCGGTCTGGTGTCGCCTCGGTTAACACGCAGTCATCCACGGCCGGTTAGTTTGGCAAGATAAATGTTGACGAGAGGAAACAAAACATGAAGGAAAGTAGATGAAATGCCAGAACTGTCCAAGCTGATTTGAAGCAGGAGGCACAAGTGGCAGGATTTGTACAGCCACCTCTGGCATGTAATTAATACAGGTGCTGCCTCGCCTCATCATCTTCATCAGGAGTGTTCGTTATAACAATCAGATCTGATTAGAGAGGAACATTTTGGCACTTGGCTGCACATGCAGTATTCTGTCATTTCTGATTTAATGATGCTACAAAATCTTTGTCTGTTGGTTTAAACACATGGGAGGATGGAATTATACACTCCAGCAGGATATGAAGACGTTTTTGTCTCAGTCTGAATCTATGCCTATAGGGCAATGACGCGTTCTTTATTTAAAATCCAATCTGAGAAATTAAAAAGGGAAATAAACCGGCTGTCCTTTGGCCTATTTTGTCTTTCTGCCTGCACCACCTGTCTTTTGCTGTGTCTTCCGCCACAGAGGGACAAACCTAATTCACTGAAAATCAGCGGAAGTTTGTACAGGCAGAGTGGAGTTGAGAAAAGGGGGGAGGAGATAAATGCTCATTGGCTTCCTGAACATCACAAAGCATGGATTCCCTTTTAATATCGTCCGTTGCTCCGCATCTAATAATTGACCTGAAGGGTAATTGGAGTTCATTGAAAGCCTGGTGCGTCTTACACAGACGCTAAAAGGACAGCTTGTGAGTCAATGTCAATACGCCGATGAGCACTGCTCAGGCATCGTCATCAACCGGACAATTGCACAGAATCAGCTTTCAAAAACGGATAAGATGAATAAATTCATAGCAGTCATCACCAGCATTGAAATCAGAGAATATATACTAATATGGGTAATTATAGCGGTCCTAGCAAAGAACCATGGGTCTGATTACAAGGCTCACTTGATCAAATGTGTCAAGGGCCTTGCACAAATTAATGAGAGGAGCCGCACAAGCACTCTTTTGCAATCCAGTGGCAAATGCACCAATTTGACGGCAGCGGTTAGAGCGTCTGTGTCTGTGTACATACTTCAGCACTGTAGACCACTCAAACGTGCATGAAGGAAACAAGACGCGC